TATGCCAAAAACAGTAACAAGTCTCACAATGGAGATGTTACTGGTGCCCTCTCAAGCAAATCAATGAATAATGGGAGGACAGTGCTACAGTGCTACCCCGGAGCCATGTAAAAAATTCTCAGGCGTGTTGATATCCAAGATATATAAAGCACTGGTAGAATTCTGTCACTGTCACTGTCCTCCCGTTGTTCATCAATTTGCTCAAGCGGGCCCAGTAACATTGTGAGACTTGCTACTGTGTTTGGCACATCGAATACATCACAGGTAGCTTGCCAGGCTCTGCCCTGGGGGCGAGATATTCTTGGTACCTTGCGGGGTTCTCCGAGAGGGGTGGAGGAATTGAACTCGGGTCAGCCATGTTGGCTGCGTGCAAGGCAAACACCCTACCTGCTGTGCTATCGCTCCAGCCCTTGGTAGAACGCTACAAGAAAAAAAAAATCCAACCCTCTCAAAAAATGGGGAGAAGAGATGAACAGGAACTTCTTCAAGGAAGAAATACAAATGTTCAAAAAGTATGTGGGGGAGAAATGCTCTATTTAATGAACTAGCCATCGGGGAATTGCAAATCAGAACAATGAGCTATCACCTCACACCACGGAGACTGGTACTCATCAAAAAGAACAACAGCAACCGGTGTTTGCGAGGATATGGGGGATAAAGACCCCTCATTCACTGCTGGTGGGGATGTTAACCGGTTCAGTTCTTTTGGAAGATAATATGGACATTCCTCAAAGAACTAGAATTGAGCTTCCAGATGATCCAACAGTTACGCTGCTGGGAATAGACTACAAGGACCCAAAAGCACAAACCAAAAGAGACATCTGCATACCTATGCTCTCTGCAGCACTATTCACAACAGCCCAAACTTGGAAACAACCCAACTGCCCACAACAGATGACTGGATAAAGAAACTGTAGCATGTAAGCACTACACAGCTCCGAGAAAATATAAAGTCATGCAATTTGGGGCAACACGGGTGGATCTGGAGAGTATCACGTTGAGCGAAATCAGCCAGAGAGAGAGGAACACACTCAGAATGATCCCCTCATACGTGGGACGGAAGGAAACCTCATGGAAATATCGAATGCCCAACGGCAGTAGAACTGGCCTTCAGTGGGAAGGTTTGGAGCGGGTGGGACCAGGCATGCGGTTAAGGCCTGTATGTGGTTGACCCGGGTTCGATCCCCAGCTCCCCATATGGTCCCCTAAGCACCACCAGGAGTGTTTCCTGAGCTTTTGGCTTCTTTGCAAAATGTTATTTGGACAAAAGGAGGGGAGGACTAAATAGAGAAAAACATGAATGGTGCTTAATTTCCCAAGAGGACTCTCTTCTTTTTCCCCCCTTTTTTTTTTTTGCTCTGTCTGGGGTTCCCACACCTGTGTGGCAAATGACCTCTTGCTGAGCTACATCTGGCGGCCTAATTTAATATTTTAGATCCCTGGAACTGGAGTGATAGCACAGTGGGTAGGGCGTTTGCCTTGCATGCAGCCGACCCAGGTTTGATCCCCGGCATCCCATATGGTCCCCCGAGCACCACCAGGAGTAATTCCTGAGTTCAGAGCCAGGAGGAACTCTTGTGCATCACTGGGTATGACCCAAAAAAAGAAAATATACATTATATATATATATACATATATATATATATATATATATATATATATATATACCAAACACATACTTTTTGGTTTGTTTGCTTTCTTTTTTCTTTTAGTAATGAAGAAATTATTATATGAAGATATTCCTGAAATTAAAACAAAGCCTTCCATGTTAAGAGGTAAAGAGACCAACGGCTGATGTAGGGTCGGAGAGACAGTAGAGGAGGGATCTGGGCGTGGGATGGCTGGGCGGGCACCACCGAGGGTCTCTGGGCACTGCCAGGGGCTGCTCCTCAGCACAGAGCCAGGAGTAGATCCTGAGCACCCCCGCGTGTGGCCCCCAATGTCCCCCCCACACACACACAGACACAAAATTAAACAGAGGTAGGGGCTGGAGCCATAGTACAGTGGGTGGCACACTTGCCTTGCACACAGTCAACATGGGGTCCAGCCCCAACATCCCATTCAGTCCCCTGAGCCCTGAGTTTAGAGCTAAGGGTGTTAGAGTCGACCCCCCCCCCCCAATGACAAAGAAAAGAGCCTATAATGCAAATCACGTAGCAAGGTATATTGTTCTGGCTAGCTGGGGTCCAAGTATCCACCCGGCACAGTGGGTTTCAACAAGGACCCTGCACGCCAGATTCAACAAGTTCTTAGAATTTCATTTTGGCAAGTCAGCATTGCTCAGCAAATTTCTATTACCCACAGAGTACACATACCTCTATTTGTTGTTGTTGTTGTTTTGGCCCACGACATCTAGGCCACCTGACAGTTACATTCCTGACAGCTACATTCCAGAAACCTAATCTTGATACGCGGGAAGTAATCTTTGACAAAAGCATCTGGTTTTTCTGCTTTTCTTGTTCCTGGAAGAGGCTAAGAGACTCAGAAGGCACAAAGCCTGTCATGGTAGTTCTCTGCTGAGTGGGTCCTAACAAGGGTGAGCGCTGAGCACCTCCAGGGGTGACCTCAGAAACAAACTCAAAGATTAAAGAGGTAAAGGGGGCTGGAGCATCACCGCCACCCCTGCCCTGGCTCCAGAGGTCAGTGGCCGTTGGGCCAAGGCCTCCCCGCCGGTGACAGAGAAGGTCTCGGGCCATTGAAGAGTGTGCACGAGTGGACTCGGGGAGCCCAGGGAAGGGACGACGCAGGGCATGCGTCTTGTCCCCCTTAGCTGGGCCTTCCTCCCTCTAGAAAAGTGGGTCATCAATCCAGAAGAGGCAAAACTCAACATCTTGTGCCAGCTGGAGGTAAGGCCCGGGTGTCCCCGCAGGTGCCGGGCATGAGAGTCACTGTTGCAGGGACAAACAGCCCGGGGTGTTTCTCGCTCGACCGTGTTTCCGTCAGGGTCACTAATCGTCGTCTCCTTCCAAACAGTTCCAGGAAGACTTCGCCAGCCTCATGGAGTCGCCGCTGAGAACCCTGCCCAGCATCGGTCCCCCGCGTATCCTGGCCTTCAAGCCTGAGCTGGGCTTCCTGGGCCCCAAAACCAAGGTGACCTCATTGCTGCCAGGATGAACTGCAGGACTCGGGGCCTGTGGACATGGTCCCATGATGCCCAAGTCATTGCTTCCGCCCAGTGTCGGGCGGGCTGGGACACAGACCCTTTGCCACATCCTTTAGGAGCTGGACGCGTCCCTTGTCATGGCAGGGGGTCGGCTGGGGCAGCATGCAAGGGCCCCGGGGAGAGCACCCTTGTCTCTGCCTTACTTCCTGTTGGTCCATTTTGTCTTGGCATGCCTGGGCGTGTGGTCACACTGCTCCCAGCATCCTCTGTGTGTCCCTCTTTTCCGGGGTCACCCTGGTGCCCTTGCCAAAACCCAATTCCATCTACAAAGATCCCCGTCTCCGCATGAGGTCACAGGAAGAGACTGCAGGGGGTGAGCCCAAGGAAGGGAGGAAGGGGCTGCACAGCTCAGCTCTGCGCAGGGCTTGGGAGGCCTGGACACAGAGAAAGCTTTGCAGGAGTCCATCATCTTGTTTTATTTGTGGGAGTGCCACCCCCCCCCCCCACCGTGATGCTCAGGGGTTGCTCTGGGCTCTGCACTCAGGAATTACTCCTGCAGGGCTCAGGGGAGCATATGGGATGCCAGACATCGAACCCGGATCTGCCATGTACAAGGCCGTGTATGAGGTCACCCTACCCTCTCTGCTATTGCTCCAGTCCCATGGAGTCTATAACCTTTTAAAAGAATTTTTCTTTTTTCGCTCTTTGGCCCACCCAGGGATGCTCAGGGGAGAATATGGGACTCTGGGGATCTCTCTCTGTGCAAATGGCGGCCCATGTCATAATGTCGGGACTGTTTACTGATCTGGTACTTCTTGACAGAGTTTGTAATAATCACTGACCAGCGTTCTTTAGCCTCCTCATGCCTGCCAACCGCCGCCCCCCCCCCCCCCATCCTGCAGACCATCCACAGCCCACAGGGATGCCCAGGGCCGTAGACCAGCTGTTTCATCCTGTCTGTCCCCAGGGGCCAGCAGCCCCCCTCACCCCTGTACCAATGGTTGAGGGTCACGGTTCCAGGCCATCTGCCCCAGCCAGCATTCACACTCATTTCTCTCTCATACATTCCAAACTCCCCACCCCCACACCTCACCCAGGGCCTCTTATAGCAACGAAATATCATTCCTGCCATTCCCTCTTCCTTTGACAAGGCCCCCCAAGGCCCCCTGAGGCTCCTGGGGGCTCACCTGTGCTCTGGTAACTGCACCAAGAACAGACCCCCCCAAGGCACCCCACTCTGGCCTGCCCTTCAACCAAGGTGGTCTCGCAGCTAAAGGACTCGTGTCTGGGGGTCTGCCTTCTCTGGCCCCTGACAGCCCACACCCCACCTGGGTGCCCCCCCACCCCAGCTGTCCAACCAGAGCTGGAAACGCGCTCCCCCTCTCTGCAATCCCAGGGGCCCCAGCCACCTCCACAAGGCCAGGCTCCTGCCTTAGTGCTCAGGCCAGGCGCTTGCTGAGTTTCCCTTTCTCCTAAAGGAGAAGGACGAGGAGCTGGAGCTGACGTGTGAGTTTTGTGGGAGAAATCTGAAAGACCTTTTCACCACAGTGGACACGAACCTTGACACGACCAGCCTGGAACCAGTGAAAAGCGTAAGTTGCACAGCAGGTTGGCTGAAGAATCGGTGTTTTTAAAAAAAAAAAAAAAAACACAGCATCCTTCTCCCGTATCTTTCCCCGCATCATCCTCCGCATTCCATCCTTGCTTGTTTGTTTGTTTAGGCCACACCTGGGCTTATTCCTGGGTCTGTGCTCAGGCATCACTATTGACAGGCTTAGGGAACTGTATGTGATGTCAGGGATCAAACCCAGGTTGGCCACATGCAAAGTGAGGGCCCTATCCCCCAGAACTCCCCTGCATTCCTTTTTAAAATTTATTTATTTTGCTAGTTGAGTCACACCCAGCGATGCTTAAGTGTTACTTTTGGCTCTGAGATCAGGAATTATTCCTGGTGGTGCTTGGGGACCATATGAGACGCCAGGGATTGAACCCGAGTCAGCTGCATGCAAGGCAAATGCCCTCCCTGCTGGACTATTGCTCCAGCCCCCTGTATTCCATTCTTAAAAGAGTTCTGTGGCCTGGAGGTCTAGGCCAAGGTCAAGGCTGGCTGGTCGCATGCAGGAGCCCAGGGTTCAAACCCTAAACCCTAATACCTTGTGGTCCCTGGGGTACTGCCAGGTATGGCCCTTAATACTTGCCCCCCCCACACACACACACAATTACACTAGAAAGAGATGTGTATTAGTTGTGGAGGACAACTAATACGCCTCTGGAAACTTGGAAATCCTCCCCAAAATGAGTTTACCATGCAGCCCCTGGGACTGGCTGTCATGAAGAAGGCAGGTGACAAGGGTACGAGTGAAGAAGGACAGAAAAGAAGCGTCCAACTCTGCAGAGGGAGTGAATGGCAGGGCAGCTGCTTCGGGAGATATTCTGGCGGCTCTAACGGAGAGCTGACCCAGCAGTTCCAGCCAGGAGGGCTGATGACGCGGGAGTGTGTGCAACCAGGTGTGTGACCCCCAGCACTGCGGAACATGCATCGCTGAGTGTCATTCCTGGCCCCGCCACAAGTGTGAATCGCAGGCAGAGCCCAGGCGTGACCCCAAGGCCTGTCAGCAAGCGCCACTACAAAGGAAAGGGAAGGGGTGCGATTTGCAGACCGGTGTCCGAGTCCGTGCTCCATGTCGGCAAAAAAAGACAGGCAGACAAGTGGCTGACAGCTGGGGGAGGGATGGATCCACGTGATCGAGCCATATGTCGGGAGAGTCATTCTTCCAGAAATGAAACCTGGGCCGGAGTGATAGCACAGAAGGTACAGTGTGTGTCTTGCATGCGGCGGACCCGGGTTTGATTCTCAGCACCCCCGAGCACCACCAGGAGTGACTCCTGAGTGCAGAGCCAGGAGGAACCCCTGAGCATAGCTGGAGGTGGGCCCTGTGAAGAAAAAAAAAGAAAAAAAGGAGAAGGAGTGGGAGAGAGGAGGAGGAGGAGGAGGAAGAAGAGGAGGAGGAGGAAGAAGGAGGAGGAGGAGGAGGAAAGTTGAGGAAAAAATCGAGGAGGAGGAGGTGGAGAAGGAGGAGGAGGAGGAAAGATAAGGAGGAAGAAGGAGAGAGGAGGAGGATGGGGGAGGAGGTTGGGGGAGGGAGGAGTCCTTACCGTACTCAGTACGGATGGCCCTTGAAACCACTGAGCCACCCGTTTCCTTCCTAGGGTCAGCCCGAGCCATGCAGATGCCTCGGGCTCCCCCAGTCAGGGCGGGAGGGCGTGGCTGCTCTCGGTCTCGGCAGTTCTGAGGCCGACTCCGATGGTGTTTGCACCACGCTGCAAATATTAAAAAAACTCGTGAATCACACTTTAAATCTGGGTTTGTATTTTATCTGGTCCCCACCCCCAACCTTTTTGAGCCAAACTCTCAGGACTTCCTCTCGACTCTTTTAGGATCACTCTTGGGGAACCCTAGCTGTGGGCAAGGGATACACACCAGCACTATCTCTCGGGCCCCCAAGCTTGGTGACTTGGATGGCATGTGAATTCATCATACCCTCACTAAGCGCTTACCAAAGAGAATTTTTGCGAGATTGCGATCCACACCCACCCTGGGCATTTTCCGTGCCTCTTTCCCCCGTCATTGTTACCTGGGCCGGGGAAGATGCCCACGACCACCTTCTTTCAGAGCGCCTGTTGTGGCTATTTCCGGAGTCTCCTCGACTACATCTTCGAAGACCAGAAGACCCCTGAGCTGGAGTTAATAGCTATCGGACCCCACGCAGCTCATGGCACGGAAGCTGAGAGAATCAAAGCGAAGGAAAAAGCTCTGCAGAGGTCAGATAGAGCATTTCTTTCTCATTTAAGCGGATAGGAAGTTCTTCTCCCAAGCAAAGAAATGAAATCGGGCTCAGCTTCGGGGAGCTCAGGAACCAGGAATTTGGGCAGTTTGGACCCAAGAAAGCCTTCGGGATCTGGTTAAGAGCTGGAGATGCAGAAACTCCCCAACGCTCAGCCAGTGCCTTGGTTTAAAGTGGAAGGTGCTCCTGCACCCGCTGTGCCCCTAAATAAATAAACAGTCCAATAAAGTGGTGATGCCCCCCCCCCCCGGCTCAGGGCAGCCCAGAATTCCAGCCTCAGGGAAATGAGCCCCAAAAACTAGAATAGAGACTGCAGGGCTGGAGCCATAGCACAGCGGGTAGGGCGCTTGCCTTGCATGCGGCCAACCCAGGTTCGATTCCCAGCATCCCATATGGTCCCCTGAGCACTGCCAGGAATAATTATTGGGTGCATGAGCCAGGAGTAACCCCTGAGCATCGCCGGGTGTGACCCAAAAGGAAAAAAACAAGAATAGAGACTGAGAATAGAGACTAGTGCATCCTGACTCGATGACGGGGTTCCCCAAAACAGCCAGTACAAACAGAAAGGGGAGTTGTTTCAGCAGAGTTGGTCCTCTCCCCTTTTGGGCAGCAAACACATTTTGGGCTCATGTGTCATGTACTCTTTTTTTCCATCTTGTAGGAAAGTGGAGCAACAATTTGCCAGGCAATATGCGATGATAGTAAAAGCTGACCAGCATACCGCAGCGGACGAAGGTGCGTCCATCCGTGCGGGCTGTGAAGATAAATTCCTGTGAGGCCAGGAGTTTGCTAGTTACTGAATCGTTTCATTTCAATCAATGCGTCCATCAATGCAGGTGGCTCTGAAGGTCTGGAGTCCTGGTCACCTGGTGTTTTGAAGACTTTGGTCTTCATCTCATTGTAGTGATCACATTCGATCAGCAACTTGACAGAGGGACCAGGAGATTTTGAGTTCGTGGTTTTTTTCGTCCAGTACATGTTCTGTTTTGCTCTACAAACTGGGAGATGGAGACTCAGTTCAGAGTAAATCTGATTCCTCCCTGCTTGCTTATATTGGCTTGGCAGTCGGTGGTCAACAGAAATAAGTACGTGTGAGGACTGACTTGTAGAGACAAAAGTAGCTCTGGATTTCTACCCTTGCTTTTCTCTACATCAGCACTCACTCAGAGTAACTTCAATTGCCCGGTGCACTGAAAAGATTCTAAAAGAAGATGTATTTTTAGTTTTACTCTTTAAAGCCTTGATAGTCAACAGTTACCAACTACATCTAAGGTCAGAAACTTTTACTTAAAAAAAACCCCTCATTTTTCTTTTTTAAGAAAGGAATGTTCTCGGGGCCTTAGAGAGAGTGCACCGGGTAAGGCATTTGCCTAGCATGCAGCTGACCCAGGTTCGAGCCTCAGCATCTCTTGTGGTTTCCTGAGTCTGCCAAGAGCGCTTCCCAAGTGCAGAGCCAGGGGAGTTACCCTTGAATGCTGCTGGGTGTGGCCCCCAAACAAAACAAAACAAAACAAAACAAAACAGAATGTTCTCATATGTATATGAAAAAAAGCAATGCCTCGTGTCAAAATAATGAAGGGCTTCGTTTTTTTTTTTCTATTAAAATGTCCGAAGGACCAAGGTATTTGCAACCAGGTCTAAAATTTAATGTCGAAAGGGAGGTTTTGGAAAGCCCTAAACAGTAAGCTCTTTCCAATGATTCTTTCCCTAGACACCAGACATGCTAAAATTTCTTACCAGCTTTCTATGGATAGTCAAGTGAAAGAGAAAGAAGTGGAAAGTCTATGCGATAAACTACTGAAGAATAAAACTATATCCATTGTTTGTTGTGATACTATAATAGCAGGTGGAAAGGTAAGTAGTTTTGAATTTTTTCCTACTCGCAATTAGTTTTTCCTTTTATGCTTACGGAACGGGAATCAGGGCCTCGGGCATGGGGAGGTATGAGCTCGACCACTGAGCTACATTTCTGGCCCCCGACCTGGTGGTTTTGAAAACTCAGTTTTACTGAACATTATGGAAGGAGTCAGGAGGAATCCAGGGTAGCCCTGGGACCATTCACTGTCAGAAGCACAGACTCAGCATTGAGCATTTACTAGACTTTGTCACCATGTCTGACAAGTTTTAGGGTGGGGGGTTTGGATCAAAGATTTTTTTTTAATTCTACAATGTGCTGACTGTAGGGTCAGAGAGTGAGGTCAGTGAGCTGAGCACAGGCTGTGCATGCAGGAGGTTCAGGGTTCGCCCCCCAGCCCCACACATGGTTCCCCAACCACCGCCCAAAGCAGCTCCGAGCACAGACCTAGGAGTAGCCCCCAGGCACCACCGATGTGGCCCCAAACAAACAATTACGATAAGTGTACGTTTAGGAACCTTTGATACTCCTAGAAAATTAAGGTGAAGGGGAGAGATTCACCGCTGTCTCCAGGCCATCGATATTTTCTGGCCCTGCAGTGCCCAATATGGTGAGACCTGCCGCAGAGGGCTATCTAAATTGAAAATACATTTGAAATAAATAACAATTTTAAGTGTAGCTTTTGGGTCACATGAGCCACATTTCGAGTGCTGCAAAATGACTACCACACAGCAATTCAGTTGTGAAAAAATTTTTTTTGGTGAGGGGTGTCACACCCAGCAATGCTCAAGAGTTACTCCAGGAATCATTCCTGGTGTCAAGATTAAACACGTGCAAGGCAAGCACCCCACCCACCGTACGATCACTCTGATCCAAATACGAAACGTTTTTATGATCACCTCAAGTTGTAGTCGCTAACACTCTTCTAGACTTTTCTTTATGCTGATTTTTTTAAATGTTGATAATTGTGTTATCTATGCAATATATGACCACATTAGCAGCAGCGTGACCTCTTATTGTCTAGTTTTCGCTCTCAGAGAGCCCGGCAGGCTACCGAAAGTATCCTGCCCGCGTATATGCCTGGCTGGGAACACCTGTTAAGGTGATTGGAGGCTGCCCCAGAAGCCTTCATCCCTCTTGGAGAGCCCGGCAAGCTACCGAGAGTATCCCGCCCGCACAGCAGAGCCTGGCAAGCTCCCCGGGGCATTCTCGATATGCCAAAACCAGTAACAATGATGGTCCTCATTCCCCTGACCCTGAAAGAGCCCCCAATATGCCATCGGGCTACACTAGCACGTGACAGGGATGAATGGAGACATTACTGGTGCCCGCTCGAGCAAATTGATGAACAACGGGATGACAGTGATACAGTGATGCAAAATATGGTAAATTTGATAAAAATTTCTATAACTAATTTTTAAACTTAATTATGTAGTATTCCCGTTATCTTACATTGTCATTCTAATATCTGTGATTTTTTTCAAATAGATTATATAACCATTTCCCTGTTATTGGAGACACAGGTGATTTGATTTGATTGCTTTATTATTATTTTGTGGTGTCAGGGATGGAACCCAGGGCCTAACATGCAAAGCAAGAGCTCTGCTGCCCTGACACACCGATTATAAACATATTGTATTTATTTATTCATTTATTTTTTGCTTTTTGGGTCATACCCGGCGATGCACAGGGGTTACTCCTGGCTCTGTACTCAGGAATCACTCCTGGCGGTGCTCGGGGGACCAAATGGGATGCTGGGAATCGAACCTGGGTCGGCCACGTGCAAGGCAAACGCCCAACCTGCTGTGCTATTGCTCCAGCCCTGTTGTATTTATTTTTGACTTGCTAAAAATATTGCTTTAAGTACTCTTGTGTATCAATTTATGTTTATATAAGTATAGTTCCTCAAAATAGATTTCTAAAAATGTAATTATTGAGACCAGGCTTGTTCCTCTTGGGAGAGAGAATTTTTTTTGTTTTGATCCCCACACCTGACTGAATTCAGGGATCACATCTGGTGGGCTTGGGGGACCATATGGGCTGCTGAGGATCAAACCCGGGTCTGCTGTGTACAGGCAAGTACTGTCCCGGCTGTTCTCTCGCTCTGGCCCTGTGCTAGTGCTCACTGAATTGACCTGAAAGTGTCATCTTCAAGAGACACCAGATACTGCGGCTTATACAGCAGTTTAAAGTTGGGGTTATTACATATAATTTAATATCGGCAGAGTCTGGCAAACTCCCTGTGTCGTACCCAATATGCCAAATACCAGTAACAATGATGGGTCTCATTCTCCTAAAGAGCCTTGAATATAATCTCAGGGCTAGGATGAAGGAGACATTACTGGGTCCTGCTCGAGGCAATCGACGATTAACAGGATGATTTGTGATTGTGATTAATATCATAGACTTCACTCTTTTAAACATACAGGTCTGTAAATTTTGGTATTCTGTAAACATTATAGCATCTGAGCTATAGAAGTTTCCCCATTGTGCCAAGGCTGGCTGGCATCTTGTTTCATTCTATTTTTTATTTTAGTTTAGTTTATTTGTGTGTGTGTGTGCGTGTGGTTTTGTTTTGTTGCTTTTTGGGTCACACCTGACAATGCACAGGGCTTACTCCTGGCTCTGCACTCAGGAATGACTCCTGGCAGTGCTCAGGGGACCATATGGGAGGCTGGGAATCGAACCTTTGAAAAGCCCTGTGCAAGGCAAACACCCTACCCGCTGTGCTATCACTCCAGCCCCTCCTATTTTTTAAGTATTTATTTTTGGCGGGGCTTTGGGCGGGGTGTCCCTGGTGGTGCTTGGGGGCTGTTCCTGGCTCTGTGTTCAGGAGTGGCCCCTGACAGTGCTCTGGGAACCATCTGCGGTGCTGGGGGTTAAGCGGGGTCAGTTACAGCAGAGCAAGATCACCCTCCTCCCCCGTCTCCCCAGCACGCCTCGAAAGGGAAAACAAATAAAGCACAACCCGAGCGCCACAAAACCCTGCAAAGTCATGTGGAATGTCAGATTTTTGCAGGAAGAGTTGTCTCAGGCAGTTTGCCGGGAGTGTGAAGTTCAGACACAGCTGCGAGCGGTGCTCGGCGAGCCCGGGCGCCCATGGAGCAGGCCTGGCGCGCTGCGTCTCGACGACAAAGTGCTGAATGTCCTTTGGTTTTCTGTGGCGTACAGACCTTGAATGATGAGTTCTGGGGAAGAAACTACAAACACGGAAGCAAGTTCCTGACTTTCTTTCCCGACGGCACAATGCAAATATTGTATCCTTTCTTTCCAAGCTGCTGGACACCTCCCCAGGGACCTCCCCTTCCCTTTCTCTCTCAGTGGTCTTTAAAAGTCAATACTTGGGGGTTGGAGCCATATCACAGTGGGTAGGGCCCGCGGCCAACCGGGTTTGATCCCCGGCATCCCATAGGGTCCCCCGAGCACCGCCAGGAGTGATTCCTGAGTGCAAAGCCAGGAGGAACCCTTGAGCATCGCTGGGTGTGACCCAAAAAGCAAAACATAAATAAATAAATAAATAAATAAATAAAAATCTCTGTCCTAAACAAGAAAATAACGGGAATTTTAAAAATAATAAAAATCCATCTTTTCACTAGTGCTTCCGATATTATAACCTGCTGCCAAGGCAGGCTATGAAGTAATAAGTTTGGGCCACAAATAAAATCATGAGTCTCTCTATGTACTAGATACGGTGATTGAGCCCCTTTAATATTTTGTTTTGTTTTGCTTTTTGGGTCACAGCTGGCCCTGCATAGGGGCTGCTTCTGGTACTGAGCTCAGGGTTACTCCTGGCGGTGCTTGGGGGGACCATATAGGACACCAGGGTTCCAGTGCCCTCCCCGATGGACTGTTGCTCCAGCCCCAATTCGGCCCCTTTATTTGGGGGTGGGGGGCTTTCAAGCACGGCTCAGGGGCAGACGTTTGCTCCCAGCCACACCTGGCCCTTTCTTTGTCTGGTGACACAATGTTGTCAGCCCCAGAAGTGCTAGGGGCCCCCAGCTCCACCCCAGCAGCATTCAGGGGCTCTGGAGCACTGCAGGGGGGCATGCAGTAAATCAAAGCAGAGTCTTTGAGTCACTTACTGGCCTGCTATTTTATTCTGTTTTGTGTGGAATGTGGGGTGGGGGCAGCCTTTCTCACAGCATGGGAAGCGTCTCACTGGGGCTAGGCCTGGCAGTGCCAGGAAGGCCTGTGACTCCCAGGGTCAGACCAGCAGCCTGTACTACACACACACACACACACACACACACACACACACACACACACACACACACACTCCAGCCCTTGGAGCTCTCTCAGGCCCCAAAGTCCCATTTTTAGAACCCCAAGACATGTCACCATTTCTCCTTTTATCCTTGTGACGCATCCCCTCTTCCTGAACAAAGGGGATTTCAAATGCTTTTGCACATAAAGATAAAGTGAACAGCTTGATGTTATTTCTCACTGATTTCCCCCTCAAAATCCCTGGGTAAGAAATGTTGGACACTTGGGGGGGGTCATCAAAGGCACGAGCAAAGGCACGGTGGGCACAGAACTTAACTTGCATGCAGTCAGCCCAGCTTCCAAACCTGTCACCCCACCCAAGTTCTGCCAAGAGTGATCCCTGAGACAGAGCCTGAAGTAAGCCTTGAGCACTGCTGGGCATGACCCAAAAGACGAGTCAAAGAAATAATGGACAGTTCAAAGCTTTGATCGATTTTTGTGTCTCCAGAAAAATGTGCTCCTGTTCCCAGTTCCTGGTCTCGGAGCAGCGTTTCAATGGGGTAGGCGGAGGTGGTTGGGCCACGTCCTGGCGTGCTCAGGGCCTCTGCCTTGCTCCGCACTGGGGCATCATTCAGGCTGGGCTCAGGGTCCGGATGCCGTCCTGGCTGGCCGCATGCAGGGCAAGTGCCTTACTCGATGGATTATTCTCTCCTTTCATTTCTAGTCTTTTTTCTTCCGTCTTTCCTTTCTTCCTCCCTCTACTCCTTCCTCCCTCCCAACATTCCCTCCTTTCATTTCCTCTCCCATCTCTCTGTCTTTCTTTTCTTATCCCCCCCCCCCCCCCAGCAAGATTTCCCTAACCAGAATCACCAGTGAGATCTGAATAGAAACGTTGAGGGCAGATCTCTTGCCTCAGTTGCCTTCCAACTGCTAGCTCTTTACTCGGAGTTCACTGAGTCTTTGGATCCTGAAAAGGCTCTGGAGTATTTCAAATGCCTTATCAGTGTCTATTAGATGATGATCAAGTAAGACCCTTTGCCGTTTATTTTATTAAACTTATTTCATTAATCTTTAGTTATCAAACTTCTCCCTGCATTTCTAGGATAAACACCACCGAACCATAGCATAATCATGCATAATCCTTCTCACATGTTACTCGCTTCCATTTATTCACTAGTATTTTGTTGAGGACTTTTGTGACATCATATATTTTGTTCCATGAAAAAAGCAAACTCCTTTTTGCACTAATAGTGCCATTATTTAACTCTTTTTTTTTTTTTTTTACTTTTTTGGGCAACACTTAACAATGCTCATGGGTTGCTCCTGGCCCTGCACTCAGGAATCACTCCTGGCGGTGCTTGGGATGCTGGGGATCGAACCCGGGTCGGCTGTGTGCAAGGCAAATGCCCTGTCTGCTATACTGTCTCTCTGGCCTGTATTTAACTCTTTAAAGTTTACTTTAACTCTTTGAAGTTTCAAAGGGCTTTCTCACAAACTGGGTTTATTCCCACGATAGTCAGGACCATCAGAACAACTCAAATGACCTTATCTGATCTCAGCTACCCATCGGGAAACCTCGCCATCATTCGAGTGCCCAGCAAGAACAATGGTTATACCTGTATCATCCAAGAAGATGCATTCACTGACCCCGCCATCCTGGCTGTGCTGAATTCTTGTGGAAGAATTACCTGCTATCACCCCAATGGAAATGTCTGGTAGGGTTCTTGGGCGCTAGGCATCTCCACTGCCAATATTTTGGGGCTTTGTGAAATTGTATTTTTCCTTGTAGTTGAAACTAAGGGATCATATTCTCTCTAGAACAGTAAGAAAACACAAACGACCATTTCAATGTGGAAAAAAATTCCTGAGTGAATTCCATGGTGTCACATGGGGATTTGGGATATGAACCCGTTATGGTCTTTGGGGGTGTCTGTACTGAAGGTGGTGTCACCTCCGCAGAGAATCTGGCAGGGGACCGCAGCTGTTCCCGGAGTTGCTCCTGGCTACCCACGCCCCTCCTGGGTCACCCCCAGCAATGAATAAGGAAATCGCTAAGGAAATCCAGACCGCGAGACTCGGTGACTTTGCGGGATCACGTAGCCCGAGAAAGGCAAGGCGGACCCTCGTCACAAACACAGCCTGCGCTTCCTGCCTGTCTTCCCCTTTCCATCTCACACAGCCAATGCTGGAGGAAGCTGGGGTGCAGGGAGCTGCTGGGGTGTCATCCCATGTCAGCTGCCGCCCAGTAGCACCGTAAATGCCAGAGAAAGTCTCCTCTCTGGGGGTTCAGTGGCAGATGTGCGTCTCATGAGGGTGGGGTGCTTCCTTCACTGGCCTCTAGGACTCCGGGGCTTCCTTGGCCCTAGGAAGGCCACTGGCCACCAGCTGAGCGTCTGAGACTCGTGTCGCCCCTTCTAGCTGCCCCCCACAAACGGATAAACTCTCCTATGGTAGAGTGGTGGCCTCCGGCCGTGCACCCCAGGTCTGCCACCACATTGCATGTTTGCTAAGTTTCAAAACATGATTTACCCAGAAAATTTTATCCAAATATTATCTCTATCCACATTTCAACCTGAGATGAGATCAGCCCTTCCAGGTGCAGTCGGACCAGGTCTGACCTGCCCTTCACTAGCCAATCCTGGGGCGCCAACGTGAGCCGGCTACTGCACAGGCTCTGCGCTGCCAAGACACCAAGCCTTAAGAACAAACGCCACAGGCTGTCGAGATGGGTGGGCTGCTTGCCCTGCGTGCGGCATACTAGGTCCCATCCCTGGCTCCCAGCTTAATCCCCAGAGACCTGCCAGTGGAGATGCAACCCAGGAGTCGGCCCTGAGCACTCCCAGGGGTGCCTCCCGCAAACACAACAGAATGAAGGGTCAAATTAAGCCAGTCGGCTAAGAGCCGGAGAGCTTTGCCCTGTACCTATCCTTTCTCTTCAACAAGGGCCTGGTGCTCCGAGAGGGGAAAAGGAGAAAGGAGGAGCAGGAGGAGCAGGAAGAGGAGGAGGAGGAGGAGGAGGAGGAGGAGGAGGAGGAGGAGGAGGAGGAGGAGGAGGAAGGGGAGGAGGAGGAAGGGGAGCGGGAGGGGGAGGGGTTAGGGAAGGAAGAGGGGGGAGAAGAAGGTGGGGGAAGTGGAGGGAGAAGATAGAGGAGGAGGGGGGAGGGAGAGGAGGGAGTGGAGGAGGAAGAGGAGGAGGTGGAGGAGGCAGAGAAGGGAGGAGGGGTAGGGGGGAGAAGAGAAGGAGGAAGGAAGAGAAGGAAGAGGAGGGGTCCAAGGGCAGGAGGAGGAAGGGGAGGAGGAGGAGGAGAAGGATTTGAAGAGACCAGGCCTGACGACGGCCGTAGAGGCCTCTGGACCAGAGCTTGGGGCTGCTGCTCCCTCAGGGATTTTTCCAGACCCGGGTCCGGGTCCTGGTTTCTCGGAGGAGTCAGGGTGAGCGCAAGGAGCTTGTAGGGGCCTCAGAGGAGCCGTTTCCTGGGCTCTGGGATCCCGTCAGCACGCGCAGACCCGCTTCCCAGCTGACGCTCAGGGAACCGCACGCTGTCTCTGTCTCTACGGGCCAGGGTGTGCATCAACCTCCTGGGAGGCCAGTACTCGGACCCCGCCGGCAACAGGGTGCGGATGTGGAGCTGGGCCACGCCGCTGACCCCCGTGCCCTTTGCATCCTTCAAGCCCGTCTTCCTGGCCCTGAACCACAACGTGGGCGTCCGCATCCTCGAGCAGGACAACATCACCATCACCTTCCTGGCCATGGGCCAGCAGGCACGGATCAGCGTGGGGACCAGAGTGCAGGTGGGCACGTGCCCCAGGGGTCAGTCACGGGAAGGTGTCCGTGTCATTATTGACACACCCTGCGAGTGTGCTGTCGGTTGGCCGCTGAGAATTAGGGAACCCAGTGAGCAGAGAAACGGACCGCCAGAGAGACTTGCCCGTGGGGATGGCTCGATTCGTGAGTGTCCAAACTACTGGGCAGGTCTCTGTCGCCTTCACCCCACCCACACCCCATGTCTGGGGCTCAGAGAACACGAGTGGCCCTAGCTCCGCAGGGGCCCAACCACCCCGGCCCCCAACTGCACCTGAGTCTCTCTCTCTCTCCTCACTCTGTTTCTCTCTCTCCTCTCTCCTCCCTCCCTCCTCTCTCTCTCTCTCTCTCTCTCTCTCTCTCTCTCTCTCTCTCTCTCTCTCTCTCCAAAAGCTCCTGAAGCCCAAGGCGCTTCCGCCCCTCCACAGCCTGAGTGAAGACGACCTCCTCCTGCTGGCCGTTTCCATCAAGGCCAGACGCCTGTTCCACAAGCTGGAGGGATGCAGTAACTTCCCCTGCAGCCCCATCTGGGAGAAGCAAAAGCCGCCCCCCTACCTCTCCACCCTTTCCCTCCGGCTCATCGCCCTCTGCCACAACCTGGATATCGCTGAGGAGACCGTAAAAACAATCGCGACTATAATAAATGAAGACATTTAAGAATCCCCGTGCCGGTGTTGTGTTGAGAGTTTGGGGAGCGAGTGAGGAGGTTTGAGCAAAGGTATGAACCGTGGAAATACGAGAGGGCTGAGGCACACCAAGCAGAATCCAGGAGCTGCTCTTGGGTCAGTTCTCAGGAGTGCTGGGGGGGACCCATGCCGTGTTGGGGTTGGAACTTGGGGCTTTCACGTGCAGACACATGCCCCGTCCTTGCCGCTTTCTCTGGGGCCCTGGTGGATGTCGCTGGTGGAAACACAAAATAACCAATCGTGCGAACACCAGTGATCACCAGGCACAAAGGGCGACAACTGCCACGACAGGGAAGGGGGAGATGCTTTCAGGACCCTCCGAAAGGCAAGAAGCCCTGGCTGGCCTGGGGAGCCCCAGGAGAGGAAGATTCTCGGGGACCCCAGCAGGAAGCAGGACAAACCTGGGAGCTGCAGGAGCACTTGGAGGAGAGCAACATGGCCAGAAGCCCATGACCACGCAGGAACAGGGAACGTGACCTAGTTGCTGGGTCCCTTCTCCAAGAGGTGGGTGATGTGGAGGCGCCGCCAGGCCCAGCCCCTGCCTCCTGCTCGGCGCCTCCAATCCAGCACACCACCCAGAGAAGGGATGTTCCAGAATATTCCAGATGGGACCTCGGCTCCTCTCGGAGCAGGAGGAACACAGGCTCCGGAAGTCCCCTCCTCTTTTTTTCTTTTTCTTTGCTTTTTGGATCACACTCAGCGATGCTCAGGGGTTACTCCTGGTTCTGCACTCAGGAATGACTCCTGGTCGTACTCAGGGGACCCTGATGCTGGGAATCGAACCCGGGTCAGTCGTGTGCAAGGCAAACGCCCTCCCCGCTGTCCTCTCGCTCCTGCCCCAAGTCCCTTGTTCTTATGGCGGATGCGCCACAAGATGCTAACAGGGTTGCGCAAGGCGCCGAAGCAGGGTGGGCCGAGAGGTCAGTGGGCCGGGTGCAGCTTGGCACCAGGAGGCCTGGGTGCGCCCCCGACAGCAGCCAGTCCCTGGAGCAGAGCGGGGAGAGAGCCGCTCAGCAGCGCCGGGTGTGGCCCCAAGCCTCAAGAAACGTGAAATGGTGATTCCTCCCACGGAATGTGCGAAGGGCCATGTTCTGGGGGGTGGTGGCGACACTCTGTGGGCAAGCCCGGCGGTCACCTAGGCAAAGCTCCAGCAGAGTCCCCCACCCTGGGCCTGTCCCTGCTTTCATGAATCTAGAGTAAAAACGTTTCCAAGTGGAAAAAAATATATATATATAGTCACATTTCGAGGCAGCTATTTAAGGAATTGAGCTCTTAGAAACAATGAAAATAACTAAGGATAGATGACAGCTGACGAGCTACTCGGAGCGACTCCAGCTGCCAGGAGGGGCGAGACCCCTGGTCGCACACGTGCCACCTCTGCGTGCCCACGTGTTCGTCCTGCAGCTCCGCGGCCCACCCTCGGCTTCTCCCCAGCCCCTTCGCCTGGGCCCGGCTGCAAAGGCGTGAGCCCCAGGCGTCTCCGCCATCTCTCCTTCGGGGCGGAAGAATCCCCCGCCCATCTGGGGCACTGTCTGGGGGCAATGGCCCTGCTCACACTGTGGCAGGGCTGGTGTGTGCACTTCGGCTGTGGGCCCCCACGCACGCGCACACACACACACACACCCCTGATCACACACACGCACACACACACCTGCTCATACACCCCTGCTCTCACACACACACCCCTGCTCACACACACACACACCCGCTCACACACACACACCCGCTCACACACACACACACTTTCTCTCACACACACACCTGCTCACACACACACACACACACTTGCTCTCACACACACACCTGCTCACACATGCACACACACCTGCTCACACACACACACCTGCTCACACACATCTGCTCATACACACCTGCACACACACACCTGCTCATACACACCTGCTCTCACACATACACCCCTGCTCACACACACACACACCCGCTCACACACACACACCCGCTCACACACACACACACTTGCTCTCACACACACACCTGCTCACACCTGCACACACATCTGCTCACACACACACCTGCTCACACACATCTGCTCATACACACCTGCACACACACACCTGCTCACACACATGCCCCTGCTCACACATACACACATACGCCCCTGCTCATACACCCCTGCACACACACACATACACACGCACAGTTGCAACACTGGGCCCTGGATCCAAGCAGGATGGGCGGTCCTCAACCCACGGGGCCAATGGCTCAGCGTGAGGCAGCAAGGATGCAGTGCTCTGTGGGCCTGGCGGTGCTTGGGGGGTCTCTAGGCCCCATCGGGGGTGCCTGGGTGCCCCCACGCTGTGTCTGGTCTTCTAGAGTCGAAAGGGGTCAGCCACACCGGGTCCTGGCTCTCCAGCCCAGGCGAGAAAGTCCTCTTGCTGAAGGAACCTGCAGTGGAGAACCCCCTCGAACAAAACACTTCCCTGGCAGGTGTGCGAGCATCATTTTTCCAATCAGTTCTCTGGTCTGAGCCAAACTGGCCGGTCAAAGAGAGGTGACAAAGCATCCACGTGCCACAGCTAGGAAGCACGGGAGTTTCTCAGTCACACACGATGGCCCAGCCAGGAGGTGGCACACGGGCTCAGGGCGATGTCCCTGCTCCCACACATAGTCGCTCTCCAGGGCTGGCACTGGGGAAGGAAAAGGACCTTGTGGCAGCCCTCCAGACCCCAAGCAACAGGGTCCCCAGAAGTCAGTGCCCCATAAGAGGCTTCCTCGGAGCCACGCCTCAGGGCCAATGCGCTGGAGAAGTCACGGTGCCTGGCCAAGGTGGAGAAAACCAGGTCAGATCTACCGGGGAGACACGGGGTCACTGAGGGAAAGCGAGGGGGTCGCTAAGTAGCTCCCCTCATGCCAGGAAATTCGGGCTGAGGAAAGACTGAAAGCGATTCATGTGAAAGCCAAATTCCCGCCTCAATGTGTTTGTGAGAAGCGGCTTTTCCCTGGAGCTGAGCTGCTGCTGAGCTCGGGGGACCATAAAGGATGCAACATTCAACCTGCTGTACTCTCTCTCTCTCTCTCTCTCTCTCTCTCTCTCTCTCTCTGGCCTCTGACTGTAGTTTCTCTCAGGAACAGCTTGCCCTGTTTTCTACTGAAAGAGAATGTGCTAATAAACCGGGTTTCGTCTCCAGGGCGAGGTCACTCTCATTTGTACACTCCTTCATACGGCCACCTTGTGTTTATCCACCACCTGCTAGTGCCAAACACAGTGACACCAAGTAAACTGCAGTTCTCTACCCCCAGAGGAAACCCTGACAATGAGGTAAGGTCAGCACCCACCCTGGTCTGGAACGGGGTGTCACATGGGGGCGTGGGAATGGCCTCACTGAGACAGCTGCCAACCAGGCTGCCGGGGAATGTGCTCTGAGAAACACCAGGAAGCCTCATTAGGATTTCCAAGCTCCCGCAGGAATCACAAGGGTCCAAGAATGGCAGGAAGTCACAGATGCCCGGCGGATGCCTCGGTGATAGGCGAAGGCCTGTGGGCTCCCAAGGACCAGAACGGGAGAAAGGCCAGAGGCGGTCCAGGCGACCCCATCTCTGACCAAGTGCATCGGGCCGCCCCGTGGCCCATGGGGAGGAGGAAGAGAGAGCAGGTTCCAGTTAACGCACTCTGAGAGGGGCTGGAGCTATAGCACAGTGGGGAGGGTGTTTGCCTTGCATGTGGCAAACCTGGGTTCTATTCACGGCATCCCATATGGTCCCCCGAGCACTGCCAGGAGTAAGTCCTGAGTGCAGAGCCAGGAGTAACCTTTGAGCATTGCTGGGTGTGACCCAAAAACCAAAAACAAACAAAAAATACTTAAAAAAAAACAAAAACAAAATAACCAAAAAACCATCTGGGAAGCAAGTTCCATGCAGAGAAGACGTGGTGTCTGAGCTGTTTTTTCATTAGTTGGGGTGCGGGTGGGCGGGCGTTGGGTACACCCTGATGCACTCAGGGGCGAGCCCAGCTCTTCGCTCAGGACTGACCATCTGTGGGGTCAGGGATGGAACAACCACACGAAGGGGAGCATCTTACTCCTCCCCGACACCCGCCCCCCCCCCCCCGCCCCGCCCAGATGGCAAGAGCTCTGCTGCTGTTGCCTGCTGAGAGGAAGGACTCATGGGGAGGCCCGGCCAGGACAGAGGAAGCCGGACACAGCGGGGGCCGGTTGCCATGGTAACCTGCCTGGCTTTTGTTCTGCAGACACTTGTCCTTTGCTCTTGAACGCCAGTCACAGGGCCTTGGAGGGGACCGCTGTCACCCTGAGGTCACACGGCTTGTCCTCCGCTGACCCCAACAGTGAGAGCTAGAATGGGAAAGCTCGGAGGGGCTCGAGAGGGACTCAGCAGTGGACCCGAGCATGAGAGCCGGTTCCAGACCCTTGTCCGGTCTCTCCGTCCCCTCCCCTCGGTAACTGATTTTCACTCGGAAAATGACCAGTGGGTTCGAGAGCTAGGACAGCAGGTGGACGCTTCATGGCCTGGGGTTGATCCCTGGTGTCCCATACGGTCCCCAGGAGTATATTCCTGAGTGCAGAGCCAGGAATAACCCCTGAGCATTGCCAGGTGTGACCCCAAAACTAAAGACACAAAAGTAAAAATGATTAGCAAGAAGCACGCCAGCCCCCAGGAAGAAGCACACGTGTCCACTTGAATCAGGGCTAAGCCACAATTCCGTGAGTCAGCACTTTTGGAGTTTATTTTTGGGTTGCGCTGGCCACGTCCAGGGCTCCCCCTGGCTTGGCACCCAGTGCCAGCCCCAGGGAGGGCGGGAGGAGCCATCAGCAGGACCTTGGCAAGGCTGCACGGACACTCGCCTGCTCAGCCACCTCCCAGCTCCCATGCTGAATTCCTGAAAGCAGAATCGAAGACAAGGCCACGCAAGCTGGAACGCAGAAACTTCCTTTCTTTCTCCAAGGATGGGAGTGGTTTCTCTCTCACACACTGTGTTGGTGTGTTCGTTAACTG